AAGGCGAAGTAGAAAGCATCCGGTATTGTAATTCTCGAATATACAGCGACAACCGTGTCAATGCACAGCAAATAGGAATTCATACATTTTAAGGGATTTGTTCATTTATTCCTTTCTTAATCTAAGCTACGCAATGGTTTATAAATAGACAGAATTGAACTGGAAGGCGTCCGTGGATATCTGTGATTAGACGTCGGAAAGGCTGGACTTTTGTGGACACCTTTGAACATTGGTGTTCTCCTCAGATTCTTAGAGGGAGTAGTTTGCAGTTTTGTCCGAGAGTTTTGATTTTCATAAAATTTTACGACACATTTTTGACCCGAACAGGAAAGATTCTCTACTTCGGGACCCTAGATTTACCTTCCCGTTCAAGATATTTTTAGTTTGTAATGTCCGATGTTGTCTTGAGCATATCATCCGGCCGCAGCGTCAATTGACAGAACGAGCATCTTTCTAAAGCATCTTTACACCTCGACGGACAAGTTTTCATCCTTCTCTCTTCTAATCTCTATCGATATCTGGATACAACAGATAATACCATCTACTGCTTTTTCTTCCGTCTAAGCCCGCATTCTTGTAGACGAATAGTCTGGCTAAGAGCTGTTTTGCCATGCATACTCAGCGGGGGATGGAGTGGTCAATGAAATCATTGCCGCTCAAATGACCATTGGCGGATTCTGAGGAACACGCGTGACCAGAAAATGGGGAAGCAACTATTACACGGTACTGAGCAAATCCGCGGAGTCACTGTCATTGATATCGAGACTATTTGTCATGATAAACGTGCATCATTGATTCAAATGAATCGATTGCCAGATTACGTACATCGCCCTTCTACACAGTCAATATCAGGATTCCTGAGCTGAGCAATCGACCGGGATTTTCTTGGAAAGAAAGCGGGCTGCAAACCATGTTACTTCGTATGCGCTTGTCCACTCTCTCCACGTCGAAACTAGATACTGTCACCAATTGAAGAAATTTTGTCTCCAAGTGATGCATGTGGTAACAAATTCTGGTGGGAACACAAAGCGCGTGTGTGGGTGTGGGTGGAAGGTTATCTATTCACACTTTGAATATAGAGGAGATCATAGACTAGACTTTCAGTGTTGAGATTGGCAGGAGAAGAGTAAGCCGAGACGCCTGGGAACAAAGCCAACTCATACATACATAAGCTGGCGGGGCTGATACAGATTTATCTACGTCTCCGTGAATCTGTGAGAGCTTCACTTAAAGATCCTCCGCTAGAGTTCAGACCCACTTAAGGATTAGTTGTAAGACTCCTTGCCATATCTAGATGGATATCTTTGACATTTGCCGCTGTTATTTTTCCTTTGCGGTGCTAGCGTGCCTGCTGGATACTGATTTAAATCTAGATGAAATGTATATGTTAGAAACAAAGAAGGGCAAAAGATAAAAAGACATTATCAAAGCACCCGAGTGTGTTGGTCCCCACTTAAGGCTTAGTTGTAAGGCTCCTTGCCGTATCTAGATTGATATCTTTGACATTTGCCGTTGTTATTTTTCCTTTAAAGTGCTGGCGTGCCTGCTGGATACCTATTTTCAAATTTAAATGAAAATGTAGATGTTAGAAATAAAGAAGGGTGAAAAGATAAAAAAGACATTATCAAAACACCCGAGTGTGTTGGTCCCCACTTAAGGCTTAGTTGTAATGCACCTTGCCGTATCTAGATTGATATCTTTGACATTTGTCGTTGTTACTTTTCCTTTGTGTTGCTGGCATGTCTGCTGGGTACTGATTTTTAAATTCAAAAATCTAGATGAAAATTTAGATGTTAGAAACAACGAAGGGCGAAAGATGAAAAGAAATCATCAAAGACATCCGTGTGTGTTGGCAAATGTCAGGCAAATATATATATTATATTAGGCAATGCTAACCCTATGTAGAATTTATAGCAAACTTGCTTACCAAGCATCATAGACACACATGTATGATTACATCTCGTCCAAACACTGAATCTATACAACTCCGAAAAGCCGAAATTTGAAAAACAAAGGAAAACATTCAAGATCGATGTTAAGTACAAAAGGTCTATAATTCTGTTTTATTTATCCAGGGTGGTCGATTCCAGTGGTATGTCAATGCTTTACAATCGGAACCTGGAACCTTCGCGTGCAAATCGAAGTAGGACGGTTGATTTATAGGTTAATAAACCCCCCCAAATCCGCACTCACGTCCTATAAGTGTCCATGGAAACCTGCATTAGGGTAAGTCTCATTTTTCTTTATTCTCCAGACAGTATAATGTAGGACTGGGCTTCCAGCTTGGGGATTTACCAATCCATGGTTATTATGAACACAAAAGTAGGGCTAATATTTCAAAAATCCACTCATTTATTTATTTATTTGAATTAAATAAAACCATCAATAAACTTCTCTGTACTTTTAGCACAAGTAAAACCCTATACACACAGTCCGCAGACCCGGCAAACAAATTAGCAAACCCTTCTGGGATTGGTGCGTACGTCAGCGGTTACCATAGTAACGAAGATGAGCCATGATTGGTTAACATGACATTCTGCCCGTACAGAGAACTTCCCCCACATGTCAAGTCAAACTATTTCCTCCTTAGCTAACGCATCTTACACGGGCTTTGTAAACCCCGTCTCGTGCACAGAGATATAGCCGGCACTTGGTTGAGAAGGGTCACCCTGAAGCTAAGTCCTTTATTATCTTTCCTTTCTGTGAGATTGGCCAGTCAAAGCATTCAGCTTTGCGGGGTGAGTACGAGTGTGGCCCCGAACCGTGAGATTGTCACGGTGCGGTCGAAGTCAAAAGTCGTCGACCGATTTCGATACCGTGGCACTTTCAGGCAGACTGTGCTGTGACAGAGCCAACCGCCGACCAAGATACAAAACAGCCTTAACAAGACTGCTGAGTTTTGCATGGCACTTTCTCGAGAATATGCTCTGCCTGCGTTCTTGAAACAGTAATCGTACGGAGGATCCCTAGGTAGTCGACAGGCAGTCGACTGCACATCTGGCCCCAGCTGTAGACCAGCCGCCGTGACTTGGCAGCGGTTTATCGGTGAGTACTTTTCTTGCAAGCTATGAAATTTGTCTCTAATAGCTTCTACTGATAGGGTTTGATATTGGTCAAATATGTTGAATAGTCTACCGGCTAAATTAACCAGCCATAGGACAGCGTTAAAAGGTGGCAAAGCGTTTTTATGTTCATATACTAGTATATATTAAGGGCACGGTAAGGTATTTAGCTGGTGTGTTACGCCGAAAGGCTATACAGATACAGATACAGATATTTGCCCTCTTAGCTTGCTAGTTCATTTACTTAGCACTCCCTTTTGATACAATATTTCAAGAACTGTCCATGGAAATGAAATACGGGTTCTATTTCGACATAAATTTCGCTTCGACCACAAATACTGCATGCATATATATACAGCAATATACCAGACAAGATCTAGTGTGCGCGTGTTGTACCCAGCACAGATAGTCCCCGTGTATCCAGAACTGCGCCTAGGGCACATCTTCACTCTTGCCTGGGCCACAGACACACGTGCCAGGGACACAGACGCACAATCCTAGTTGACATTGGAGACCAAACAAAGTTTGTAGCGGTATTTGGCAACGAGTATAACCGCCCTTTGGTCTAACACATCAGGTTATGAGACAGACAACGTAAATTTGTTCTGTTGCATAGAAAATCACAGAAAATCTGCCTGCTTCGAGATCACGTTCACTTGCCTCCACGTACTTTCACTGATTGGAACGAAAGGACAACTCCAAATAACATTATATCTACAGACGCCAACTGCTCCTAGGGGGTATCATTTATTGGACTATTTCCTTTCTAATGACTTCCTTTCTAGTGCTTCCCTTTCAGAAATTACATTTGTAACAATATGATCCTGTTAAATGAATTAGGCATATATTGTTGGGATTGACTCCCTTTCAAAATATTAAGTTAGTAACAAGATTATCATGTTAATTGGATTAGACTTACATTGTTGGGACTTTCCTCGGATGAGTTACACTTTGCTGTAGTTGCAGATACATTTGTAGTACGTGTCTTCGTGAATTGCTCTTGTCAAACCATTCATAGTCACATCTGTAACTTATCTAAATAAACCATATTAGAACAAAATCTTCGGGGATAAAGGCATGTAATTACCTCCGGGGGAGGAGACATCCTTCCGCGGAAGGGTTTTGTGAGAGATTTAGATTTTCATGTTCGCGGCTGTTTCTCGCGTTTGAGTGGACGGATTCTTTTGAGATTCGGTATATGTTTTGCTATTGGGCTGCAGATGATGCACGTTTTTTTGTTTTTATTGTATATGTGTTTTCGGGCGTGAAAATGGTGCCTTTTGGTGGCCCACAAACACCCCTTTGAGCGTGAAAGTGGTTGCGACCGTTGACCTTTGGCGTGTTTAAGCTATTCTCGGTCCGGTCCACGTATATGACCCCTCACACAGAGGGGTGTCCGGTCTCGAGAAATTCTTTGTTTAAAACTCTATATAAAAATATACAATAAAAAGCCCGGAGGTATAAAATCTCAGATTTTACTTGTTTGGTGATGTACCTCGAGGTCTTCTTTAATATTTGCAAGATTTTTGTCGACAACTCCTTTTTTAATACAGTTTTCCTTTGTTTTTACTTTTTCAATGATGTTGCTTCAGACACGACAGACGTTTTTGTTGTTGTTGTTTCAGGTCTAACTTCAGAAGACCATAATAAAGTCAGTTGGCAGGATCAGCAGCACCGCCTATCATTATACGACAACATTACAAGTGCTGAGGAACAAAAGAAATTGTGAGCAACGACATAAAGCCATACTACGCTCTCAGTTGCTTCTCGATAAATATCACGGCAAAAAAGAGTATAGAAATACAATAGAAATATAGTCGAACGATGGGCGACATCAACAATACGGAAAATGGCAACGGAACGGATGATATTATTGATTCCTTCTTCGGAAACTCATCAAACAATCCGACAAACAGTACAAACTGTACAATGATCGTCCTGCAAGACTTGATGCCGTATAACGTTATCTTCAGCCTGTTGTCTTTGGCGGGAGTCGTCGGAAACGCGCTGATCATCGCCGTTCTTCGGGAACACGAAAAGGCCCGAACGACGGCCGAGATCTACGTGATGAACATGGCGACGACTGACCTGCTGATGTTGACCATGGTGCCGGTACTGGTCACCCGAAACGTCATGGACTACAGGTGGGTCTTCGGCGACTTCCTGTGCCGTCTGTACTATCTTATAGCCGGTCTGAACATGTTTAACACCGTCTTCATCCTCACGGCTATGAGCGTGGACAGATATTTCTGTGTCTCGCGCCCTTTGCGTTCGCTCGATTGGAAAACCACCAGAACGGCAAAAATCGTCTGCGCGTTGCTGTGGGTGGTTGCCACGGTGATAGACCTCCCCTGGGTGATCTGGGCCGAGATCGGGACCCCCCGGGACTACTGTGGGACTCCCATGTGCATTTACGATTTCCCGGCACACAACGGGGACGAAGGGTTCTGGGAGCGTCTGTCGGAGATAGGAGTACTTTTCCTGTCGTTTGTGATTCCGATCGTCCTGATCACCGGGACCCATGTCGGCATCCTGTGGCACGTGCGCAACCCGGCCGCCGGGCTGGACCGCACGCAGCGGTCCCAGGAGAAAGTCACGAGGATGGTGTTCGCCATCGTCGTCGTCTTCGTCATCTGTTGGCTGCCCAAGAACCTGGTGTACCTCGCCGAGCGATTTGATTGGTTCAAAGCACCGTCCAAATTGAACATCGGGTTAGAAATGCTGATGATCACCAACAGCGCCATTAACCCGTACCTCTACACCATATTTGGGCAACACTTCCAGCGAAGGCTCATGGGAATATTCTTCCCGGCAAAGTAAGTAAGGATTTTGTACACCAAAAGAAAAAGTGTGTGTGTGTGTGTGTGTGTGTGTGTGTGTGTGTGTGAGTGTGTGAGTGTGTGAGTGTGTGTGTGTGTGTGTGAGAGAGAGAGTGTGTGTGTGCGCGCGCGTGCGTGTGTGTGTGTGCGTGCGTGCGTGCGTGTGTGTGTGTGTGTGTGTGCGTGCTTGCGCGTGTGTGTGTGTGTGTGTGTGTGTACTAGTAATATAATGACATGTAATGACAACTATAAAATGCGCCGACAAATGGGCCATACAAATATGCGGAATCCACTGTATATGTAAATTCAGATATAACTGCAGTACCGTATATTTTCAACAAATAATTGTGCCAAGCAAACTATTGTTTACTCATCCTGTTTCAGACATCGGCAAAGCTTGAGAACTCGTAATGCTAACACGATCGTCATGAGAAGCAGGGTTAATACGCCCACTGGCGACCGACGTCGGCATGACAGCGCCCCAAATCACCGTCCGGACGAAGTTGAGGCCCGCGTGGGGGATAACGAAGACCGAAGCGTCTCGTCGTGGGAGAAAGAGGCGGACATGTGCAGACATGTCCACGTGGAGGACACTCCGGTCTGACTGTAGCGTTAATCACGGCCCGCCAAACCTTTTCCGTAAACCCCCTCGTCGCGGTTGGAATCATGCTTCGGAGGGGTTGGAATTGGAAGGGTGTGGAACGGTTGGAATCCTCCCTTTTGGCTTCAACCCTTCCACATCCATTAACAGTTTAACACTCATTTGCAACCTTTCCACATTCATTTCCGACCGTTTCACATTTCCAACCGTTCTAAACCCATTTCCAAGCGCCCCATTTCCAACAATATGTCGAAAGGTTGGAAATGGTCTGATGAAGATTTGTCGCATTGACAATTTCAAGTACGTACGCCAGAGTGGCTCAAAGGCCCGCCACGTGTACATAGTAGCTATAGCTAACATGTCACTGTACTGAAACCATCGACAGGGGCAGTTATCATGACTATTTTGACTGCTGATGCAGTGGAAAGCAACATGTCACTACAACTGACGTTTCAGCACTTCGGACAGTGACGCATGCACGGTGTTTAGTTGAACGGTAGAATTGGATTCCGATCGGAGTTTCTGTTAAAAGGGACTCCAATTGTGATCGCCGATTCTACCAGATCGGAGTTCCTACTCTGCCATATGTATATACATGTACATTGTAAGCGCAGAGGCCTAGGCCCTCTCACAACAGAAATTAAAAGAAAATCAAGGAGCTAAGAGAGCTCGCGAGACAGAGGGCACAGTGGAAAGAGATGAAGAAAGACTGACTGCAGATGCAGGATACAGTGGATGATGTATATATTAACGTTATATGACATGATGTGTACGTATGTGTGAGCGTTTGTCTGTCTACTTGTTTGTTTGTTTGTTTGTTTGTGTCCGCGAGTAGTGGATATTGATTGTGAATATCAAATACATGTATTTAAATGTCGACTCCCAGTTTCATCTGTATACATCAAAGACTTCAAAACATGAAAAGAAGAACCATAGACAAACGCATGTTAAGTTTACTGTATGTGTCCCAAACATAGACGGCGTGATTTAACAATGTTTTAGCCTAGTAAAGGGAAAAATATGAGCTTTTGTGCGACATACAAGGTAGATATAATGGTGTTGAAACCAGTGAGCACTAACAGAACGTCCAGTGTAACATTTTATTACTCTAATCAAAACAGCAAAGCACCCAGCGGTTGTTCAACCATTACACGGAAGAATATCTTTAGTTTATGCACATCTGAAAGGGGCATTATGAGTGAAATTCCTCTTCATGGGCCAACGATTTATTCAGTATCTATACGTCGGTTAGTCAACGGTGCAACTCGATATAAGAAACTTCATCCTGGGTCAGAGATGGCACAAGATTCTGTTGTGGACCCCATCTGGCGTATCTTTTGTAATTACGTGCAGTGCTTGTAATTTTGCTGAGTTCGTATTACTACAGGGGTTGCAGCAATTAGAACCAGGTTGGAGTCAGAAAATCGCGTATTCGGCACCGTAATCGTTATTCTTCAGGTGGTCTCAGGATGTCTGATTGTTCTCAATGCAAATCAGCACATGTAATATTTCCTTTCAAAGAATTTCTACTAACTGTTCCTTTGTTCCGTAATGAAGTAAAACCTATCGCGAATACAAAGTGTACATGTGTTTATCTGTATCTCCAATTTTCAATTACCAGCATTGTGTTCAATCCGTTGTACGTATACATTTCCAACGATCTGAATGTCCAGTACTCGGGTCGATGGCCACCACAGTCTTTCGTGAACGACGTTCGCCAGTCTTCTCGCTCTCCGCAGCAGAGCCTGTCTAATCTTCTTGATCCTGAGCGCGTAGATGAACGGGTTAACCACGGAACCGCAGAATGCGATCAGCAGCCCCCAGTAAGGTCGCGGTTCTGTCGTGCACTGGTCGCTCGCGTGACAGGTGACGCCTCTGACGAAGCCGACACAGATCGGCAGCCAAACGACGATGAACAACGCCGCGATCATCACGACAGTCACCGCCGTCTTCAGTTTGAGTCTGAGCTGGTGCCGCTCTCTCGCGGTGACTCGCTGTTCCCTGCGACGTGCGGCGGGCAGGTTGTCTTGAGGCTTCTGAACGAGTCCCATTCTAGAGAAGCGCTGCTTCAGTACGATGAAGATTCTAACGTTGACGAAGACCACGACTACCACAGCCACGATCAGAATGATGTTTATCAGTATGAGGTAGTTATCGGGGGAATTCCTCATACAGTTTTCCTTTTCGTTATCGATGCAGTTCCAGCCCATGAGAGGAGACAGACAGACAAGCGCGCAGGCTGGCCACGCGATCCCCAAACTCACGGCAACGTGTCGCCCAGACATGCGGGTCTGGTAGAATATCGGGTGGAAGATGGCCAGATAACGGTCCATTGACAGGAGTACCACGCCGATAGCTGATAAAACCAACACGAAAAAGAACAAGCAGAATAAGGCCAGTGATGTTAGTGGTTGCATGACATCCCCGTGCATGATGGCACAGAAGAGAAAAGAGAACAAACCTGCCACACAGTCCGCCATGGAGAGGTTTGCCACGAACATGTACATGGGTTCAGTCAGCTGGTGGTTTCTGAAAATTCCAGACAACACCGCGCCGTTCAGGAGGATACTGGCTGCCCCCACAGTGGCGGATGCGATCCCGATTTTCCTGTTCTGGACCTGAAACGGGTCGGGAAGATGGTAGCATGCTGCTATCGCCAGGTCGTAGTCCAACTCAGTTTCCAGTCGCCACTGGACACACGGCCAGAATGTCTCGTGTGCTGTAAAGTTCCCTTGGGTAAAATTCACCAAGCTGCCGTTCATCTTTGTCCGGGCTATGGAGACAGGCACCTTGTCACAATGATTATGTTGTGGCGTTGAATGGCAGGACACGAGCGGTCATGAGTTCGATCCCTGGCACCCTGACTAGACGCTGTATCCAAGTCACTAACAGCCACGTCTTCAAAAAGGCTATGCGGCTGACGATATCGCCAATTTGATACTGCAGCCACCAAAAAATCTACTTTGAGATTAGAAATGTCCGAATTGATATTTCATCCTCGTGGTTAGGCCACATAATTTAATTTGTTGGTTCTCGGATTTTTTCAGAAAAAAATATGAAGCGACAGGGCGAAAAAAATAAAAACAGGTCTAGGCATCCTATTATAGGCTTAAATACTAGAAAATGAGCCATGAAGTCAACACAAAAGGCTGGGTTAAAATTTAAACATTGAATTTTGAATCAAACCACTGCAATGATAGATGGGAAAACTGTAACAACTAGGAAGAAAAGGACTTTCCTCAACTGTTGGGGGGCAAAACATGAGCATTTTTCAGTTGATTCAGGACCAGAATCAAATTTTTTTTTTTGCAAATCAGAAAAAAACGAAGAGGCGAGTCCGAGAACCAACAAATTAAATTGGTGTGGCCTTATTAAATCATATCACGCTCTGGTCATTTACGTGTAGGTGCGAAGTGCTCGGATGAAGATAGAATTTCGGTTCACTCCGACTTGTGAAATTACAAGATGTTGATGAAACACTTAGTTAATGCCTATTGGGTTTGCCAAGAAAATTTGCGGTAGCTGTTGAAGGTTTATGCTGCAAACTATGATAGAAAAAAAAAAGAAAGAAACACACGCACACACAATGTCACATACATACACAGACGCACAGTCCGAATAAATACTAGACTTCTATGATCTCAAATAATCAACATTTATTCTCATAAAATATGTAGATATTGTGTCTTTAATTGCGTCATGTACAATGTATTATGATGTTGCCTCAACCTACATTATATCACAAAAATCAAACTTTCGCCATTGACCACAAAAAAAGTACTATTGAATTTCCTCACCTAGCCTGGGAAAAGTATGATATCCACGGGTAAAGTAAAAACAATTATATTAATATTAGCCTGAGAGCCTGGTTTATACCATAGTGGTGCATACAATTTTAGAGAGAGAATCGCACATGATGTAGTTGTACAAATGTTCCTCCTAGCCCTGTTTTCATACTGCTCATATGGTAGTTCTTACTTCAAATGACTAAGAGCCTCAGTGGATGGGTCTTAATAATATCTGGTAGGTACTGTATATATACAAGTAGCAGTTGTGGAAACAAAGGTCAAGTTTGCAAACTAATCACCTGGCATTTCCCTGCGGTACTGCAGCATACAGTGTATGTATCTATACAATATAATTCATAAGCTACATGGATGGAGGGTGTGGTATTTAGTGGGTGGGTAGGGGCTGCAAAGAGAAAGGTTAAGTTTGATAATTAAGGCCTAGAAAAAAATTCCCCTCAATGATATTACCAGTACATGTATTTCTATTTCAAAAAGACTTTATGACTTACATATACATTACAAATACATACATGTGTACACAAAATCCATATTTACCTATGAATAAAAATTCCATTCCTGGCTATTGTTGCTTACATTCTGGTCTACCGTCAGAAGGTACATGTACAACTTTATGTGACTTCCGCCCTCTACCAATAGGTCGCCTCACACTTCTTGAATCATCTTCATCATCGTCATCATCATCATCACTGTCATAATCCCTACGACCAATCACAGACAGCCTACCGACTGGCTTTATGGGGGCATCAAAGCGAACCTTCCTTGAACTGACAAACTCCTCTGTTTCCATGTTCAACTCTTCCTTCATTTCACTTTGCTTTCCCCTCTGTACATTCTTGGTGCTAATATTGTCAGGGTCAGTAGGGGCATTTTCCTTTGCTGCTTCATTACTGCAGCTCCCCCTAACTGCCTCACTGGGTACTGCACTATCACTCTCCTTGCTAACATTTGTTGTTTTACTGTTATTGGCAAGACCTTCTGTAGTACTATCATTCCCTGTGGTCTTTGAAGCTGTGTTAGTGCTGTTCTTGACAGCACCACCCACTACTATGCTGTCCCCAGCTGTCTTCCCTGCTGTTCCCTTGTCAGAGCTGGTAGCTGCAGTTGCTGCTGTCTTGTCCTTTGTCTTCCCCAGGGGGATTTTCTCCAACCTTCCAGTGCGAACCTTGGTGCTGTCAAGCAGTTCTGAAAAAGAAAAAAAAATCAGAGATTGCAGTATGATGTAACACCTCTCACCCTCCAATCATTCTGGACCCCTGCGAATCCAAATGTCGGATATTTTACGGATCCCACTTGCATCTGTTACAATTGCGTAAATATCCCTGTGCTTATATGACTGATTCCAAGACCTTTTTGCCACTGTGGAAGTTAAAGTCCTTCCCACAACAGTGGTGCATAGGGCGGCACCAATCTCCAGTTCAATAGCCCTTGGGCCACACAGTAGTGCAATCACTACAGCAGGTGGCTAGTCCACTGGTAAATGTTTCCCCTCCTAAAACAATGCTACTATGTGCTGACAAAATCATCCCTCCACTACATCCAACACAACATTGTTATTCCCTGCAGGCCCATGCTGTATCTCCCTGCCCATGCCGTAGCTTCTTGTCTCCCTGTCCCCTGGTGACCCACCTGGTTGATATTTGAGCTTCATGTCCTCCAGCTGCACCAGTAGCTTCATGTTCTGCCCGTGGAGGGACTCTGCCTTGCTCTCGGCCTCGTACAGTTTCCTCTCACAGTGCAGCAGTCTGTCCCTGTCTGCCATCTGCAGGAACTTCTGCTGATCCAACTGGGACTTCACTTTTTTGGTCTCCTCTCTACAAGTACCAGAGTTATCAACCAAGGATTGAGACATGTGCAAAAACTCATTCTTTCCTTATTCCTCTGCAACATTAAAAATTTCTCTGCAAACTGGAGACTGCAGATGGGTATTTCTAACACTGTCCAGGGTAGGAGAACAAAAAATGTCCTGGATAAGGAGATCTGTCTGAAAGTTATACATGTATCTGTAATAATATGACCAAGTACAGAAACAGAAAAAGAAAAGAAAAAGAAAGGAGAGAGAAGAAAAAGAAAAGAATGTTACTTTGACTCCTTAAGTCGATCCTCCAGGAAAGCAGCGTAGTCTTTGCGGCCTCCGAGCTCGGTGAAGTTACTCTGGTACTGTTCAAAGGTCTTCCTGGGGTTGTTGTCCACCTATAACAGGCCAACCAGGAGAGATGTATGTTTAATCTTAAACAAAGACCAAGAAATCTGAGATTTCAAACTTAAGAGAAATAGATACACTATTACTATTACACCATGGTTTATGTTTCAAACATTCCTCGTGAGAACATCTTTGAACCCAGGGCATACCAGGTCAAATCCCTGTCAATCAAGTGAAAGCCAATCTCTGCCCACTCACTATGGAACCCAAAAATACAGACCTGGCATAAATTAGCACCACCACCACCCAGAACAATACTTCTGTCCCAGAAGTAATAAATTGGTGCCACCAACTAGTAACACCAACAGTATACTGTAAATGGTAGTAACAAAACTTCGTAGTCTGAGAAAAATGGACGGTAATGATAAGTTCGCGCTACAGAAGTGACTGCGAAAACCGCAAATATAAAATAAGGTACCGCGAAAAAATTGTGATTTACAGTATCTATTTTTTAGGTTATTCCCCACATGGAATTGTGCCTTTACCAGCTCCAGCTGTTTCTCGGTGGCCTTGAGCTTGTTGGACAGCACCTGTGTTTCAGCACGGCTCTGGGACAGCGCCTGTTCCAGCCGCTGGACCTGAGAGGCATCCGCCCGCCCCCCTCCCATCTGTAGCAGGGCAGCAAACTGGGCCTGGAGAAACAACAAAACACAGTTTATACCATGTACATTTCCTTTTTAAAATAACATACACACACAGTGACACATAGTGACAACACAATGTGTACAGCCCAAAATAACATACAACTCTTGGTTCTGCGCCAAACACTAAAATTCTTCATTTTGCAGCACAGATTGTGCAAAGGGGTAAAGAAAAGGGGTATGTAACTTTTTTTGGGGGGAATAAGTCCGGAATGGCTTTTAGGTTTTTGGGACTTGAAGCTAAACATTTCTACAAGTCTGGAACCAGTCCAGCAAACTGGTACACAGCACTAACAGATGAATGGAGGAAATACCTTCAACTTCTGGAGCTGCTGCTTTGTTGCCATGTGCTGTTTCTTCAGAGACTCGTGCTGTACCTGTAGGGAGATCATCTTCTTTTCCACAGCCACACGACGGTCCTCCACCTGCACAGGTACAACAAGACATCAGGGATTTCAGACTTTCCAGAAGTCTAAGATATGGTTTGTGTTCATAAATTCATCATAGAATGGATTATTACATGCATATTATACTTTAGGATTGTATGATAAACTAATAGTAATACTTTGCTGTTAACCATGGTACATTTCTGGTGACCACACAGGCCATACAACAGTGTCAATCAACTAAAACCCAATCTTTGCCTATTCACTTCCATAATTGCATGACTTAAACTAACTCGACTACCAGTCTAACTAGACCATCAGGTCTAACTCTGGTATCCAAACACAGAAACCCCCTAAGTCAGCACCACTAAAAACAATACTTCTGTCCTGTAGTAAAAAAAAAATACTCTGTTGGGACACAGTTGGCTGGTGAAGTTGCTGAGACTCTAACCCGCAGGGGTATTGACATTTGCTGTGCCCAAGAACCACAGGACAGAGCTAGCACACTGGTAAATGTTTCCCCTCCTAAAACAAACTAAAGCCCCAGCATCAGTGTGCAAGCACGTCTAACCCTCGGTTACGGGGAACAACAGAAGATAAACTGGATAGAAAGAGAAAGAGAGTGTGTTTACCTCTGCGAAGAGTGAGTTGCCCCGACTGTTGGGGTCTACAGACTGCAGTTTCAGGGCTTCTATCTGTGCCTCTAGTCCAAGGATGTCCTCACGACTTTTCTGTAGATTAAGAACAGTTAGAAAGAAAGACCATACAGTGTCTAATATCTTAAGACGCCAGTCTGCTGACTGTACGACTGTCACCTCTGGCTTTGTCTGTGTCTGTGTCTTTCGTCTCCTCACTTTATGGGAGAGACCGATCCTGGTATTGTAGTCACGAATGTTTCTTCGAACTATCGTAACTTATATAGCTGCTACATTAACTATAACAAGCGCCTGTTCTAAGTGGCGTGCTAGGATAGACTATAGTAAGAAAAATGGGTTCATGACTTTGTACTTAGAGGACCGTACAAAAGTTACATTTTTTAGTATGTTATATGTATACAAAATGCATGGTAGTCTCCGGTTCCAACGATTTACTTCGCCGCTTGTAATGTATATTGGCATTATTCGACATGGCAAGTTTTCACTGGAATAATGTGACATTTTCAATTTGGACATAGCCCCAGTGTTAATAAGGATATCAATCAGAATACGCCCTGTGGAATATGTATGATTACACGCCAGAATGGGCATACAATGCAGTGCCGCCTAAAATCCTGCCACTACAGCTGAGACTTTGCAAATCGCATACTCCTGCCAGTTAGAATTAGTCCAATCTAGGGTTTCCTTCCTTGTGGTATTTTCAAATTCCCCACAGTACAAATGCGTTTCAAAATGTCTGCTCTATTGGCTAATAGGCAAATGACATATATTTTCAAAACGTTTCATAAAGAAATACCTATTATAAATGACAACAAAGGTCGGTCTGCAAAAAAAGTGAAGATTATACAGATAGAAGAAATGAAGACAAATGTCTAAGTAGGTAAAATATGAGGAACTATGTTTTCTTGTGACCTGTACTTAACCTGTACTTAGCCTGTACAAACTGTACAAATGTGCAATAAAGGTCGTCATCCATTCATTAAATTTACTCGCCTGCATACGTACCTAACTACGATGAATCTGGCCGCGACATTTGCAGTTCTTAAATGCAAGTTCCTGACTTTGGCCTTCAATGTCTTTCCAAACTTTTCCGAGATTCTAGGAAGAAAATGGACTGATAAGAAAGTCAATTTTCCTCTTCACAGCGTCCTTCGGTATCTAACAAGGGGAAGTAGAAAGCATTCGGTATTGTAATTCTGGAATATACAGTGACAACCGTGTCAATGCACAGCAAATAGGAATTCATACATTTTAAGGGATTTGTTCATTGATTCCTTTCTTAATCTAAGCTACGCAATGGTTTTTTTAAATAGACAGAATTGAACTGGAAGGCGTCCGTGGATATCTGTGATTAGACTTCGGAAAGGCTAGACTTTAGTGGACACCTTTGAACATTGGTGTTCTTCTCAGTTTCTTAGAGGGAGTACAATGTAGTTTGCAGTTTTATCCGGAGTTTTGATTTTCATATAATTTGACAACACATTTTTGACCCGAACAGGAAAGATTCTCTACTTCGGGACCCTAGATTCCCCTTCCCGTTCAAGATATTTTTAGTTTGTAATGTCCGTCAATTACCAGAACGAGCATCTTTCTAAAGCATCTTTACACCTCGACGGACTGTCAAGTTT